GCTTTCCCAATTGAACTATCTATAACCTAGTGTGACCAAAAGGTACTCCATCAAGTAGTGATTTGAGAGAAGCAAGGATTTGCTTGGATAAGGCAGCACAAGTACTGTTTATATCCTACTGCATACTGATGATTTTATCATCAATAGAGCTAAACTTATCATTAATAGAGCAAGTAATCTGATTAATAATCTGAGATTGAATCCCTTCAACTCATCCCATGAAAACGCTGGCGCTTGCTGTGAAGGAGTACTAATCGGCTTAGATGGTTCAGAGTGATCAAGTGTATTAATCAAATAAGACGTATACCGTGGTATAATCTAATTCGTTCAGCATATCAAGGTTTGTTCCAAGCAGAGATGATGTCCTAGGTCGCAATGAATCCATTCTACCACAATACTTTTTAAATGAAACATCGGAAAGCTTCACCGTTTGATTTGCACAGATTTTATTTGATTAATTTTTATAATATTAATGGAAAATTAGCATTGTTAATACTGTATCAATTAATAAATAAGCTGTTAAATGTTTATCATACTGATCTAGAACATTATATTTTACGTATTAGTATTTAAAAAAATTTTAATAAATGTAAAATTTTACAATTAGCTTTATTCATTCATTAAACTAACTTAATGAACAATAACACCCTTCAAAAAGATTTAAAACATAAAAATTTTACATCAATTACAGCAAACTATTGCAATATTACTGCAGCTTTTATTCACACAATGCGCCTTGAAAGAATTGTCAAAGCTGAAGTCGACTGTGTTCTCAAATTTTCCATGATTTACATCAAGGAAACCATATTTATACTAAGAAATAATATTTAATAAGATTTTTATATCTTCGGGATGAACATTGATTGGGGATTAGAGATTGTAGCTTCATAATATTTTTACTTTTATGCCATTTCATATCATAATTCAAATACGAAAGCTAAATACGTCTAAAAGTTGAATTTTTTCTTTAGTTTCTGTAGGAACTTTTTTATATTTACTTCTTTGTTAACAGATGAAACTTATTTTACTAATTTGGAGCAATTCGCACTCCAAGAATTTAGTAATAATATACTTTTAGAATCAACTTCCGGAAAATATATTTTTTGTAACCAAATTTTACAATAGTTTGAAAAAATTTAATTTTGTTAACATTGTTGTATAGTATACCGGTGTTTCGAAAAAATTTTACTTTCGATAAATAAATATTGATAAATACCTGAAGTCATTTTTCTAGAATCTGATGCTTGAACATGTACGAGGGTGGTCCGATAAGTACTTAGCCTCACCGCCCGATGGCGCCACTCTCGCAAAAGAAATATTCTATCACGTAGTACAACCTTCTCGATGGTTACTGTCAAGATTTCAGCCGGATCAGAGTTGTAGTTTATTTTTGAGAGCGTGTGAAAGCAAGTGTGTCCGTTAATTTTTGAAAAATGGAAAAAGAGCAGTATCGGTCGGTGATTCGATTCTCGTTTTTGGAAGGGAAATCGCGCAGCGAAATCAAAAAGCGCTTGGATGCTGTGTACGGTGACTCTTCTCCTTTGATGTTAACCATCAAAAATTGGTTAAACGAGTTTCAACGTGGTCGCACGTCGGTTTATGACGAGCCACGCCTAGGTGTTCCGAAAACGGCTACCACGGAGGATAACGTGACAAAAATTCACGATCTCGTATTGGCAGATCGACGATTGAAGGTGCGCGGGATAGCTAAGATCGTAGGCATCTCAAAAGACCGCGTGGGTCATGTCCTGCATGAAATTTTGGGCATGAGAAAGCTGTCGGCGCGATGGGTGCCGCGTTTGCTCACTCCGGACAACAAGCGCAACCGTGAGACAACTTCAGAACAATGTCTGACGCTGTTTAAGCGCAATCCGAAGGAGTTTCTGCGTCGTTTCGTGACAGTCGACGAAACATGGATCCACTGGTATACACCAGAGACCAAGGAACAGTCGAAACAGTGGACTTTACCCTGCGAAAGTGCTCCGAAGAAGGCGAAGAATGCCCCATCGGCCGGACAGGTGATGGTCTCCGTTTTCTGAGATTCACAAGGTCTGATCTACATCGACTACCTGGAGAGGGGTAAAACGGTCATAGGGCTGTACTATGCCGAATTATTGGGCCGATTCGACGTCGAATTGCAGAAAAAACGGCCCCATTTGGTGAAGAAAAAAGTGCTCTTCCACCATGACAACGCACCGGCTCACACCTCCGCCGTCGCCATGGCCAAATTGGTCGAATTAGGCTACGAACTGCTGCCCCATCCACCGTATTCTCCAGATTTAGCCCCGTGCGATTTCTTTTTGTTTCCAAACTTGAAAAAGTCACTCGCCGGGCAGAAATTTGAGTCGAATGAGGAGGTAATCGCTGCCACGGAAGCCTACTTTTCAGATCTCGAGGAAACGTATTTTTCAGATGGGTTAAAGAAGTTGGAGCATCGCTGGGCCAAGTGTATCGAACTAAAAGGAGACTATGTTGAAAAATAAAACGCCACTTTTCCAAAATTTTCGTTTTTCTTTTGTAGGCTATGTACTTATCGGACCACCCTCGTACATTTTTACGTCGAAATAAATTAGATTCAACAGTTGGTCCAAACTGGTCACTTTTTTTTTTAATCTAGAAAAAATTGTGAAAGAAATTCTCCGTCATCTAATATTATATAGAACTTATATAGTGTAAATGTTGTGAACGAAACTGATTACCCAGCCCTTTGCACCTGTTTTTCTCCTTCAACAGCTCATTTTCTACCAGAATGCATTTTTAAATGAATTCCACTTTGAACAGAGTTATATATATTTTCCATTCCTATCTCTTCTCTACATTATTTAACATCTGTTACAAATTCATTGGCAAATTTTTCTGACTCTGCAGCACTTTCCTGATTATTTAAAAATTGCAAAGCCGTAAGAAGAAGATTAATCACATTTATTGGATTTATTTTCATTTTGAATACCGTGGAATCAATTATTTATAATGTGAAAGGGCTGATAGCGATGTTCGTTAGCCCTGTGCGCAGCACTCTTCTCGCACGGATGTAGTGGCTATGTTATCATAGCATTGACGCGATCGTGCTTGTTGCAGGGTCAGGACAGGGGTGCAATGGCCAGCGGCTATAGAGAGTCGAAAGAAGAGAGCAGGAGTGCGAAGAGCAAAAGAGAGAGAGAAAGTGAACGGTGAAAAGGAATGGGGAGAGCCCAAGGTACTGTGAGCCGCCAAGACAGCGAGCGGAAAGAGAGTAGGTTTGAGCAATATGGCTCAAAAAAGAAAGAGAGCAGAATGAGAAAGTGGTTCGAGCAGCTAAAAGAGCTGAGCAAAAGAGGGTGCATCCAACGAAGAGATGCCGGAAAGGGAAAATCTGGGAGCGCAAGGTGCGGAGATAGCTGCTACCGCTGTCGGTGACGATCAACCTCGACCTAGCAGCGCCAGACTCATCGCGGTCACTTTTGTTTGCAAACATGAGCGTGCAGAAGCTCACACTGCCAACGCTGGTCGTTGCTGTTGTCATGCTTCCACTCCTGCTGTTGCTGCTGTTCAAGCATACTTAGAGTGTCGGCTGCAGTAAATGATGCACTGACGGAGCTGTTCCAAAGGTTAGGTTTGACCCGGTGCACCAACTCATCGCATCGAAAAACCAAAAAGATACCGCAGCAGTTTATGATACCGAGAAACATTTTTATAGTTATCTGCTGCATGTTCGGCGTCTTACGAAGAAGAGAGCGAGCGTATAGTCAGACGTCAGCGTACACGCCGTATTGACCGCCCCACGGGCGCTTGTGAGTGCGTGTGTAACGCGGCTCTTGTGTGTGCTCATTTACCGCATTTTTTTACTCTTTCTTATCTATTTCTCTTTCCACGTACATCTTCGCCTTCAGAGTTCACAAAAATCTGTACCACTCTTTATTCTTGCACATCAAAACAAACAGACCAGGATTTAGTGGTGATGAGTTTGAAGCTTCGAAGGTTCGAACGAAAATATAAAATTTCAAAATTAGCGTTCTACTCTGTATTTATTGATTAAATATAACACAATAACGATATATTGAGCAGAAAAATTGTCCAATTTGATTATAAATCAACCCTTTAAAATTACCCTTAAATATTACCCTTAAATATGCCACTGCCTCTCCTATACATCAAGTCATTCATATACACTAATATTAATGGCCAAGCGATTACGCATCTTATATATTACAGTGTTGTGAATAACTAAAAATAGTTTAAGTGTTCGAAACTACCTTCAGTCCCCCCTATGACGTAAAGTAGCCAATCGCGGAAAGTTGAGTATTTAATCCATTATTACACAAATATTATTATAAAAAGGATAACTCACATTAATTATTGTCTTACAGTATAAATACACTAAATACAAGCGTGCGGAACTATCCAGCTATCTCTAAGTCCATTTGAACATATTCATTCAAGTGAAATTTTCGGTTATTCGTGCATAATTTGTTATTACACACTTTTCATTTTACAAATAAAGTTTTAAGTTACCACTTATATTAGGGACTTTAAGTAACAATAATTTGAGCGTACGGAATTACCCCCAGTCACTACTACGTCTATTCAAACTCATTAGTGGTGCACTCACGTATATACGCATGTGTATGGTCTGATATCGGCACGCGTAGCTATGAAAAAGTATTGGATGAAGGGGAAGTGGCAAGTTAAGCGATTTTCTTCGTCACAATGTAAAAAAATAATATTAAAATAACGAAACTACATTCTCGCGGAACTTCTGTTTTGAAATACTTTTTAACCAGTTCCCTGCTATTATGTAATGATGATTTTATTTTCAAGAGGTATTTATTGACAAAGGTTGTGATCAATTTACTACCCCTTAAAAATTAAATCCTGTTGTACAAAGAGTCGTCAAAGTAGTTGACAACGTTCTTTTCATCTACAGTAGTAACATATTTAATGGTATATAGAATTGATCTAATAATTACATACGAATATATTTTTATATTTTATTGAGTAAAAAATATATATTTTTTTCCAAGATTATCGGAGGAATGATATGGTGCATTGAGTCATCTTCCTTTGGTGTGGATATACATCTTCTTTTTCAAGAAAATCTTACTATAGGACAAAAAATGTAAGAAACTAATATCCATTATCATAATAAATAGTTGCTTTGATTAAATATTAATATATTCTATCACGGTATGATTGAACTAATTTTCAATCAAACTAAAATATGACCAAATATTTTAAGATCAAATATGATTTTCAGTAAACAAACATTTTAAGAAAAGTTAAGTTTCGCAAATCTAAAATATAGTATTTTTTTGCACCGAAGTCATGCTTTAGATATAATTACTTTAGTATTATTGTATCATCTATTTGGAGCATATATATTTTTTTTCAAAGATGTGAAGCATGATTGATGAGATTATTTTCATTTTGAGAATTTATGTAAAATATGGCTATACATTAATAGAAAAATGTTTTCTGCAATTTTCTTTAAGATATTCTAGAAAAGTTTTGAAAGAAACATTGACATATACTTAATTAATAAAGCTGACCTTTTTTTTTATTTAAAATAAACCTGACCTAGATACGAGTAGTGATGGGTAAATGACATAATTTTGAGGTTTTAGATAGATACATGTCGGAAACTTTTAAATTGTCAGAAACAATGTAAGATTTTTGGAAACGTTGGACACTCAAAAATACGCTATTACGCATGCGTCAAATATTGTATAGCAGACGGTATCTAACTACAGCTGACATTGACATTTAACGCGTATGACAAAAGTTATAGCGTACTTAATACTTCTACTTTATAAATTTGTTTAATAATATGCAAGATTTGTAACAAATATAGTGTTTAATTGTTTATATTTACTTTATTTCCGTTTTTGTATATTGTAGTTTCTCAATATGGCAGGTATGTACAAAATTTACTTATAGCGTTAACTAACAAGGAGAGGTCTTAGCGAATGGAACATCGATTTTGATGAAAATTTTTGAGCGTATTCTATGTAAAAGAATATAATACATGTGTCTTGGCATGTTGGCCAATAGCCCATCTGAGACGAGAAAAAAAATAAATAAAATTTGAATTTTAAACTCGTTATTTACTTTTATGGACTTTTTGCCATTTATACAAACCGCTGTAGCTTTTTTGACTCGTGACAACTCATTTTAAAACTCTCCTTCCATACTTTAAAATAAGTTGTCATACGACAAATTTCATAACACCTGACTCGAGTTATCGTACTTCAAACCTAGCATTTTCTTTTTCGGTATGCAAAAAATACCACTTTTTTATTACATAATTGGCCATAAATTTTGACTGGAGCGAATTTTTGGACGTGTGATAATTCGTTATAAATTTTTTTTTACATATTAGAACGAGCCTATACGCGATTACTTTGATTAAGTTTGGCTATAGTTATCGCACTTTCAATCAAACTGCTTTTTACGACCTACAAAAACACAAATACCCATTAGGATAAAAAAAAATGATGTTTAATTCGCACTTGCTATTTGAATTATTCACTTCTGTTCGAGAGCTCGTACAGATCAGACGTGCCTCGAAGCACTCTCCGAAACCGAATCTAAGCTACTTATTGAAAGTAATACATATAAGATCTCACAAAATAAATCTAGTTAAAATCGTTTAAACTTAAAATTAGCCATTATGGCTGGAAATAAAGAAAATAAGCAAGACACCGAGTGGAATGCAGTGAACAACAAAAGATTCAGAGATAGTCCTGAAGAAAATAGAATAAACAAGAAAAGGCAAGCAAGCATCAAAGAGTATTGGCTGGAAAATTCGAACAACACAACAGTTGAAGTAAGTAACAGATTTAAAGTACTGGAAAACAATGAAACAAGCTACAAAAATAAATAGCCAGCAACACCGACAGCCGTCAAACCGCCAAAATTACCGCCCATATTCGTAAGTGGAGTTTTAAACATCAGTTCTTTAATTGACCTTAAGAACGTCGCGAAAAATGAATACACACTAAAAGTTTTGAATAAATAACGAAATTACAATTCAAATCGATAATTCTGAACTATTCACTAACACAATAGCCGAGTTAGAAAAAAAACAAACTAAATTTTACACTTATTAAAGAAAAGAAAACAAACCGTTGAAAGCCGTACTCAAAAACATGCATGCTTCAGTCAATATAACAGATCTAAAACAAGAAACTGAAATCTTCAATCACAAAGTAATAAGAATTTTTAATATTAAACACAAAATAACAAAACAACCTATACCAATATTTTTCGTAGAAATAAAAATAAATAAAAATAATAAAGAAATATATAAAAAACAAACTAATGAAATTAACAAACTAATGAACCAAATAATCTATTTTGAAGAACCATATAAAAAAAGAGAAATTCTCCAAAGCATGAGATGTCAAGAATATGGCTATGCAAAAAACTATTGCCATAAAACATCAGTTTGCGTTAAATGCGCAAATAATCATCTTTCAACGGAGTGTCCCATTCAACAAAAAATAAAAAAAGGCTGCAGTGCAAGAACATTACTTCAGCAAAAATTTCCAACTCTAAGACCAAAACAAATAACAAGTACAGAAAATATCGTTAGACAAACGTCTCATATGCGCAGGCCGCAGCCGGAAATTTAAATACAGCACAAGAAGAATCAAAACAAATGCAGACACCTCAACCAATAGTAAACAATAACAATGAGAATCAGCTGGTAAATATGATGACTCAACTGATGTCTCAATTAATAAACAAGATGGACACGATGCTAAATTTGCTTACCACGCTGATAGATAAGACATAATGAACACAAAAATAAAAATAGTAATCTAGAACGCTAACGGTTTAGCGCGAAGAAATATAGAAATAAAACCTTTTTTGATAGAAAACAATATAGACATCATATTAATATCAGAAACACATTTCACTAATAAAAACTTTTTAAAAATACCGCAATACACATCATATAATACAAACCATCCTGACGGTAAGGCACATAGAGGAACGGCAATATTAATAAAAAGCACTATTAAACACCACGAAATAGAACCACATAAATACGACTACCTACAAGCAACAAATGTAGCGATCACAGACAGCAACGGTCGATTTATTCTCTCGGCATTATACTGCCCTCCAAAACATACAATAAAAAAGGAACAATACAAAAAATATTTCGATAGCCTGGGAAGCCGTTTTCTCGCAGGAGGAGACTATAATGCAAAGCATCCATGGTGGGGATCAAGATCGATAACTCCAAATCCAAAAGGAGCAACTTTATATGCAATAATCAAAATGGAAAACTTAACGCTAATATCAACAGACGAACCTACCTACTCGCCCTAAAATATAAATAAATTATCGGATTTAATAGATTTCGCTATTATAAAAGGACTATGCCCTAAGCACCTAACAGCTGAATTATGTCTTGATTTAACCTCAAATCATTCCCCACTTATTATAAACCTCAGCTCAACAATAAAAATAGACCAAAAAAATAGTCTTATGTATAATAAAAAAAACAAATTGGGATCTTTACTGAGCAATAATAAATGATAAAATTACATGCAACATACCACTAAAACAGAACAGGATATAGATTCTGCGATTGAAAATTTAAATAACAACATCTATACAGTGCAACGGTAGTCGATTCAATTAATCGAACCGTTCGCGATTCTGATTTTCGCGCGTTAGTTCTAAGTATTGGGAGAGAGAGGAGGCGCGCGATCTTTTGAATTAGCAGTTACGTCTCAGCTGTTACTTGTGTAGTACCGCCAAAATAGTTTAGCACAGTGTTTCACCGATTTGCCAATAAATAGTTTACTTGGATTTTGGATACGTGTGCAAGGGTGAGCGAGGAAGCAGCAACAGTAGCAGCATCACGGAAGCAGCAGCAAAAGCAACAGCTATTATACAGCAGATTTGCAATCGAGGCAGCACAGCTGATTCTGATCTGAGGAGCACCTTAAATTTGCTTCAACAATTACGGCTGATCACCGTAATTGCACCGCAGGGTAGGTGCACCTCCCTTAATTATCGCGTGACAAAATACATTTGGTATTTTGCCCAACCGTATTAGCGTTAATTTTTTGTATTCGCGCCGAGCGTTAGATCGCGCCAATATTCGTATCTTCTCTCTCTCTCTTTCTCACCGAAAGTTATTTAATTGTAAATCCTATTCGCGTGCGTCAGTCTTTCGGCCCGACAGAGACTGTAGAGATTTTTTATTAATAAAATCTATTAAACTTATTCGCCGATTTCGTCATATAATTTTTCCTAATAGTTTAAACAATTGAAAAAGGCTTAGGTTTTAATCCGATTATAGCTAGGGGATTAAGTGGATTAGGAGCAAAGTCGATTACACTTAAAACTCATCGAGTATCACAAGGCACGTGACTTAAGGTGAGTTCAACTCTGCTTGATCAAAGACAACTAAGTTAAGTCAGCTGACGTTAAGGCGAATACACGTATTAACATACGTGTTAACGGAGCGGCGGTTTGCTCTGCATCGTGGGAGTTTACTCTTAAATAAATTTCTCATTTTGCAGATTTATCCCCCCGTTACAACAGCCATTAAAAATGCAACCACTACGTACTCGATTAAACAAAATAAAAAACAAATAAATTCCAAAGTAGTAACAAATAAAATAAGAGAAAAAAAGAAGTCGAGAAAAATTTGGCAACAGACTAGATTATCAACGGATAAAACAAAATATATTAGGTTGTAACGGGGTTGCTTACCGTTTAATTAATTTTATTTGGCGATCGCGTAAATACGTTCGTAATGACCTATATCAAACGGGGAAGTCGGAGAGCAAGGGGAAACAGGTGTCAGTCAACCAACTAACTACGAATACAAAGAGAACGCTCCGAAAGTACTTGTTAATATCGTGTACGAAAACTCTTTATTATCTTTTAAATGCTACATTAGAGTCGGCCCGCGTGTTTATGTTTACATCGGCGCTCGCTCGACAACAACATGCAGTGTCGGGACGCTCGCTGCTCTTTGTTCGTTGAGCTATTACGTGCACGTACGTGGTTTTGCCCCCGATGGCGAAACCTCACACACACACTCTTTTGATGTCGCAGGTACGATGGCCTTCAGCTGACTCAGGTCAGTAC